CAGAATCTTCCAGCAAGTATAGAAATCACTATATAAAATTTGTTATAAATTACTTATGATAATGAATTTACTAATATCTCAGTAGTTAATTGATACAATAAATGATTCAGTTTTAAATGACAAATTCAACGCAGACAGTAGTGATCAGTTTATAAATATGTTCTCCCTATAGAATAGAAGTGGTTTATTGCCAAAAAATGTCTAATGTTTTGAATTAGAATTAAAAATGTAAAATACTAATTTAATGTATTTCAGTAATGGGGTCTTCATTCTCCAACTATGTTGTAAGTACTGTACGAGTTACATGGACGGAAGCGTTTGTCTTATGCAAACAGAGTGGAATGGAGTTAGTCTCAATAAAAACCGCTGAAGAACATGATGCAATAGCACAGGCTTTGTCTCATTATTCTACGAAAAGTAAGTTACGTACAGAATAAGACCGATAATAAAATGACGTTCATTTACGTATTATTGGAAATAAAAATTGAAGGAATATGCATGTGCTATTCGGAAATTTGATATGGATTGATCATATACTGATTTCATTAACATGCTGTTTCTCTAGCAATTTTTTTGCAGCATTTTTCAAAGTTTGAAGATCACATTTGAATTGATTAAATTGTGGAATTATTCTCAATTTTGGTCCATAAAGGTAATATGAGTATTTCTGATAAAATACGATTTAATTAGTGATGGAAATAAATAGAATTAAATACATAGAAATACAGAATTACAGACAAAAATAACTTACTTCGATTAATTTTAAACATATTTAGAATTGTACAACACGATAGTAGTTTTCACTTTTGCGTAGACGAAAAAACAATATAAGACGCTTATTGGTATCAAAGATAGATGTAATACGAGGCACGATTTTTAGTGATTAAACACAATTCGATTTAAAAATTATAGCGGATAGAAATGTTTAGTGAAAATTTGGTATCAAAAGGAAATATTATGTAAGTATTAACTTGGAATTACAATAAAAAGTATATAGATTCTTACGGTTGGAAAAAAATGGATTAAACAAAAGTGTCTGTATTCGACATTCCTATTTAAATTGTTTATATTTTTCATCCCAATAAAATGAGCACACTTGTTTCAAATATCCATAACTATTCATAAAAACTAGTTTCAGCGTCGTTCCGATATGGAATCCGAATTGGGATTGCCACAACTACATTGAATTCGATTAAATAATCCGAATTATTATTTTGGTTATTACAGGCAAAATGTTAATGTTTTTATCAAAATTGTCACAGAATGGTATCAATAACATCCTTACAAATAGCTTTTGTATAGATGACGTCCCGGAAAATGTGGACATAGTTTCCAATTAATATACACGGTATCAAAATAACAGAACACAATTATATTAAAAAATGATACAGCCTCTTCCTAACAAGATATAATTTTCCAAAAGGAGCCAGTAAATATGGATTTTTATTAAATATAAATACTTTAAAGTACTTTTGTAATACTAAAATAATCTACTATGATTATTTTTGATTTTGTTTGTTCCAATTAGTTACTTTAAATAATAAACACATCCAAACAAGGGAAGACTGGTGGCTTAGACCCTCGTTCTCACGACTTATTTTCATTGGATTTTTATCTCTGAGGACACTTGAAGATTTTATTTTTTCTTCTGCTGTATAAACCAGAGAGGAAATGTTGTGCAAATTATTATGCAATCCTCAATCAGGGCCGAGCAAGAATATATCAGACAAAAGAAGACCATGTTGAACCAACTTATCAAGTTTTATATTAAACGGTTAAACTATCGATTTCCAAAAAGCTAAATCTAGTCACTCGCCTTCTTTAAAAAATTATTCGTTGCGATTTCTGAAAAATATTTTTGTTTTTAGTTTTAACTTCAGATTCAAATTCAAAATTATATCTTTTGTGTCTTTACCATAGACGGTTATTAAAATTTGAGTGTTATATGTGCAAAGCCTGCCGAACTCAAAAATCAAAATTAGTTTCAACGATACTATTTTAACGGGCATTAACTAATATTTGCAGCACTTTAACACTTATTTAATAAAAAGCAATTTGCGGCGACGTCTTTTAAGAGCGAGCTCATTTATTGGTATGAAAGGTCTGTTGAGAATTGTTTGTAGAAACTTCTCCTGTTGTTTTGACAGCCTGTATTTCGTCGTCACTTTACTGCTATTCTTCGTCTGTGTTCTTCATACAATTTCTTGATTCAGAGGGTGTTGCAAACGGATATTGGATTTCTGCTAGACGCTTCACTGGAAATTCCATTGTATGGTTTAATAGCGGCAAGCCACTGATCTACACCAACTTTGCAGACGGTCAACCGGACAATGCGGGAAATGACGAAGAATGTGTGGAATTCTTTATGCCGTTGGAGAAATCTTATAAATGGAATGATATAAATTGTGGTCATAAAGCTGGTTATATTTGTCAAGTACGAAATGAATGTGACTAAATGTAGGGACTAGGAAAGCACAACTTCAATCTTTGTATTCTAATTATGTGCAATCCATCAAATTCTCAAATATTACATGTGGCATTTACTTTTCATTATTTTTCGGCCTACCGCCTCGTCGTGCAAATATTCACATGCGTGCGTTAATAATATTCATATCCTACGGGTGTCACATGGTTTGTATGACTAAACTGTCCGTAACAAATCTGAAGGGACTAATAAAATACCAATAGCGGTCCTCGACTTTCGTAACACTAACGACTAGACTGAGTACTTCAATAACTGATCCAAAGTATCGAGTATTGAATCCAAAAGTAACTAGCCGGTATTCAAAAAGTACGAGTATTCAAAAGTAATCAAATCTCACACTCCTATTAGGTACTAATTTACAAATATATTTCCTCCGGCTTCTTCAGCCGCTAAGTATGTTGTAATCAAAGTACCGGTTACATGGAAAGAAGCTTTCGTCCTACAAACGGCATGGACTTGGTGCCAATAAATACGCTGAAGAACAAGATGTTGTAACCAAATCTTTGGGTTCCTCTACCACGCAAAGTTACCTACATAGTGTGTAAAATAATAATTTCAACAACTAAAACAATTCGTTCGATTGTTCCTATAACCTATCCTATAAACTATATCCTTAATTCTAATTTGTATTGTTTTGTAATTGTTAATATGCCGCTTTTCTTCGTCTGCGTTTTACATATAGTTTTCTGATTCAGGTGATGGTGGAATTGCATATTACTTTGGCTCCTTATCCCACGTTAGGTTAGTTACCTGCATAGTGTATAATCTAGTAATTTTAATAATAAAAACAATGCATTCGATTGTTTCCATCAACCGAATTTGTATTGTATTGTAATCGGTAATAGGCGGCTCTCTTCGTCTGAGTTATACATAAACTTTCTTGGTGAAGAGGGTGTTAATAAAGGATATTGGACTGCTGCCATGCACTTCGGTACAAATTCCTTTGTATGGTTTACTGGTGGCCAACCACTGGTCTTCACTAATTTTGCAGATAAACAACCAGACAATTTGGGAAACAAAGAAGATTGTGGTTCGAAAAATACTTATAAATGGAATGATATACCTTTGTAGTTATGAAGCTGGTTAAGTACGCAACCTACTTTGCTAAATATAGCTAAGTGCTATGAAGAACAATCTATTCATGTATATATGAAAGACACCAGTTTCTTCAAATATATACAGGGTGATTCAAAATTGGCGTAATTCCTTTTAAGAGGTAATAAGAACTCACTTGGAGAGTAGACGAGAAATAATGAGATTGTTTTTCCAACATTTCTAGAGATATTAACAGTTGAAAATCGAATGTCAACTTTGTTATTACGTATTATTTTAAATGGTCCCATCTTTGATTCGTAGCCTATTGGAATACTTAATCGTATGTAAAGAAAAACTACGGTCTTTCTTTCAAATTACAAAAAAGTTTTATATTAAAAAATTATGTTTGATGTTTTTGGTCATTAATGCATAGTTACAGGTAGAGAGCCTTTGTCAATAAGAACAATAATTTGTCAAACTGTGACTTACTTTGCAGCTCCTTTCACAGAATGTATACCAACATCGAATTTGCGATTAATTATGGGGAAATGCCACAATAACATAGCAGAAGCTGTAAGAACTTACGCCAAAAAAGGTCCAGAGACACTGGAATATTGACTCCAGGACGACAATAGATGTTCGGGTTCTAGACACATAGGAACAGGTATTGGAGATAAGTGCAGCAGAGTCTTCCAAGGGTACTCGAAAGCATTGCCCATCAACTAACAGTTTTCCATGCACCAAATAAATACTGAGAAAGGGCTAAAGTCCGACCACGTATGTAAGATACACAGGACACAAGGACACATTAAACCAATGGTTTACTGAGCACTGGTACAAACTGAGCAGAAGTTAATTAACCGAATACGAGAAGCTGCTCGGGAAGAGTGCACTATAAGGTGAATAGACCGGCATTAACTTATTTGGAGTTAAAGCCTCAAATGTATGTTTATTTGTATACATATCAATTCGAGATTATGAAGATAATAAAGAACAATATCTCCTTGTCGGTAGGTATTTACGTAATATTAATTCGGCAGATTACCTTAAGAAATATTGTTGCCGTCTTTCTAATATAGTTTTTTGCAAATTTCTCAGTTATTAATAACATTTTTTTACAATTTTTTCTGTACTCCTAAAACACCCCCAGACAACACCTCCAGAGAATGACGCCAATTTTGATCACCCTGTTTTTATTAACTTTGATCAGACATGCCATGTGATTTGGTTCTACGACCCGGTAAAAAAATTGATCCATCACAATCACATGTTGCCCAGAATTTAAGAAACTCCATTCAATTATGTTAAGGATTGTGTAATTGTTATTGGTCAAATCTTATAAATTCTCACATTGTACGGTTACGTCACTATCTTCGATTTAATTTTTAATGACAAGTTTAGTTCAAGCATGCTTTATTGAGACATACGTTCATTTTCAAATACTTTTTGACCTTTAGGCCCGTATATATCTGCTAATTCTAATCTCAAATAATTTCAGTTCACAATAATGCATTCGATTAATGCATTTCCTGCTTTATTATTATTCATTTCTAGCATCGAATCTATTGCTACACTTGCTACAATGCCAGGTGAGTACAATCACATTGATAGAAGCTGCTAAACGTGGTGTTAGATCCATATTTATATTAGATACTCTCTAGGTTTCAAAATGTAAAAAAACGTTAAAAATAAACAAACAAACAAAACATGAATTGTTCAAGAAGCCAAGACACTCTGTAGTTTATAAATAGCTTAACAAACAAAGAATGGTTTAATGATCTCGATATGTAAATATAGTGTATATTTTGCTGTCAATTAACATATATGGAGTATACAGGGTTATCGAGAACATACAATCAAGCATTTTTGTAGGATACAAATAATGTCCTTACTAACATCCTACACTAAAAAAATATTAGCATTACTTTCCAAATTAGTCGAACGTTCATCCTTTTCATTTTAAATTGCAAATTGAACTACTTTAAATATGGTAAGTAAAGATTTGCTCTCGCATAGACTAGGAGAAGTTGCTTAATGCCTTACCATTCCAAATACATTTTCTAAAAAATGTTAGGTACTAATTTACCAATATAATTTGACAGTGCGTCCTGCATACTCTAACTATGTTGTAAGCAAACAAGCTGTTACATGGAAAGAAGCTTTTGTGCTATGCAAACAAAACGGAATGGACTTAGTTTCGATAAAAAATGCTGAAGAACATGATGCTGTAGCTGAAGCTTTGGCTCCTTATCCCACGATAGGTTAGTTACCTGCATAATGTGTCAGCTAATAATTTCAATGACAGAAACATGTATTCAAATGCTCCCATAAACCGAATTTGTATTGTATTGTAATCGGTAATAGGCGGCTCTCATCGTCTGAGTCAATAAGCCTTGTTCTATGGTCTGAGTTATACATAAAATTTCTTGGTGCAGAAGGTGTTAATAAAGGATATTGGACAGCTGCCATGCGCTTCGGTACAAATTCCTTTGTATGGTTCACTGATGGCCAACCCATGGTCTACACTAACTTTGAAGATGGACAACCAGACAATTTTAAAGGAATGGAAGAGTGTGTGGAATATGTTAAGACGAAAAATAAATATAGATGGAATGATATACCTTGTGGTTATAAATTTGGTTATATTTGTCAAATGCGCAATGTTCTTTGCTAAATATAAGTGCTATGAATCGGCAATTTATACCTGTATATGTGCAGTACACCAGTTTTTCAAATATATTGCATTTACTTTTTTATTATTACTTTGTTTGAATTTGTCTAGTGTTGCAACATTGAGCCACAAAGCATGCAGTTTTGCTCACTAGCTGACTATTTTAAGAAAACAAGATTTAATGTTTTAAAAATATTTTTTGGCGTGAGCAATAATGCGGAGCTCTAATATGCCATCGACCGTGAATCACCCTGTATACCTAGGTCTAAAAGTGAGCTATTATATACTGAGTGCTTTTATATAATATAATGGTTTTTTGCTAACACGGATAATTGCCTAAATCGATTTAATTAAAATTTGAATTTTCCATTTATTTTCTGGATTATCGCATTATTTTATAGCAATTCAGTTTTCAAACTGCCGCAATATAATTTATGGAGAAAATTTGATTTCTGTTGGAGATGGTGTCTAGTCCAATTCTTTTTCTATCAGTCCGTGTTTTTTTTTAATTAGGGCTTCAGATAAAGTTTCTGGGGGGAGACAAATAAAACGATGCAAAGTTCCTACAAATTTTGCTCATTTGTCAATTAGACCCTGAAACTTCTCAGATTATATGTTCGTTTACATTACCATTATCATCATTATATTAAATGGCTCTTAAATTTTAGTTGATGTATTATTTATTGTGAGATAGGTTTATTTTAAAAGACGTTTTGACCTTTAGGCCGGTATATATTTGTTAATTCTAAGCTGGATTAGTTTCAGTTCACAATCATGTATTCGACTAAAGCATTTGCTTCTTTATTATTATTAATTTCTAGCATCAAATATATTTCTACACTTGCTACAATGCCAGGTGAGTAACATCACCCTTAAGAAGCTGCTAAAAGCGGATAAAGTAGCTTACATTTTACTAAAATATGTATATTTGAATATTATATTACTTTCTCGGTTTGAAAATCTAAGACAACGTCCAAAAATAAACAAAAAAAACGAAATAAACTGTTCAAGATACTATGAAACTTTATAGTTAAAATAAAAATAACTTTAGAAACAAAGGATGATTTATTGAACTCGAAATGTAGATAAGGTGTTATACGTTATACAGGGTTATTCACGCTATACGGCATGAGAGTTTGCGGCTAAACCGTTTGATTTTTAAAAAGTATTACTTTATGAATTATCCGACGTCTACCGAGCGCACATTTTAAAAATATTTTCGTAATGTACAGGGTGTCCCAAAAGCTCTAAAGGTATCAAAGTTGTGTTTTTTTAAATGGAATGTGCTGTTTATTATTGCATTTTTGGATTCGCTGAACAAAATAAGTGTCTGTTTTAATAAGGTTTATAACACCTAAACCTTAAGGATTTTTAAATAATACGAATTTAATCAAAATTTAATCTAATTTTTACGTGTCAGATACTTTAGAAGTATTTAAGTTATGTAAGCGTAATTTATAGTGAAGTGTAACAAGATATAATATTTTATATCCCAATGATAATAAACTTACCATGTTATACAGGGTGTTCACAAATTTAAACTAATCAAATAAGAATTTGAAGTGGCTCTAACTTGATTAATTTAGATATAACCCCATATTTTTTAACTTACCAGGAAATGCAATTTTTAATTACTTATCGAATGGTATTAGGATGTTAATAGCTAAGTTTTCGCCTTTTTACAAAATAGGTCAAATAGTCGTTCTGTGCACCATTTGCTGTTGTTTAATTTAAGGTTCCAATGGATCGAAGTTGCCTATGCCATTTACACATGTCAAATCATTTATTTAATTTTTCAGTTTAGTTTAGTTTTCAGACTGCAAAGTCTCTTTTTAAAAGTTAAAATGAAGAAGAGATTGTCCAAGAGAAGAGCATATTGACATGATTTCCACCCTTGGAGAATCTCATAAAAAATGTTTATTGGCTTCTCGAGTTTATGCTCAAACATGTCCTGAAAGAAATCATCCTAAACCAACAGTTTTTAACCGCTTATTACACCAATTTGAGGAAAGCGGGAGTGTCAATTACAAAAAACCCCATTACAAGGAAATCTGTCACTGAAGATGAAGAAAATGTTTTTACGGTATTTGGTTCAGTTATCGAAAATCCCAATGTTAGTCAAAATCCAATATCCAAACGTACTAACAACTAACAACAACTTTCAAAATTGGCCTCCCAGATCTCCGGACTTAACTCCACTAGATTTCTTTTTGTGGGGTTACATAAAAAGAATTGTCTACCATACGCTTCCGACAACTTCACACGATATGAAAACACGCATAAGAGACGCTTTTAAAACTGTAACTCCGCAAATGTTGTCCAGAGTTAGCAGTGGTTTTGAAATAAGAATTTACAGAAAAGTACCTGGAAATGGACGGTCAACATTTCGAACATTTGTTATAAATAATTTGCCATTGTTTTATGTTATTGTTGATATGTTATTTAACCTTTTAATTAAAAAAAACACCAAATGGTGCACAGAACCATTATTTGGAGTATTTTGTAAAAAGGCAAAAACTTAGTTATCAACATCCTAGTACCATTCGATAGGTAATTAAAAATTGCATTTCCCGGTAAGCTAAAAAATATGGAGTTGCATTTAAATTAATCAAGTTATAGCCACTTGAAGTTCTTATTTGATTAGTTTAAATTTGTGGACACCCTGTATAAAATGGTAAGTTTATTATCATTGGGATATAAAATATGATTTATTGTTACACTACACTAC